ATTTATACGCTCTCAAAGTAGAAAAGAGGGGTGAGGGGTTAGTCAGAAAACAGAGAAAAATTGACAAACAGTGTTCGCTTGTAGGTTCACATTGCAATTTAAAAAACAAAATTGGTTACAGTTTACTAGATTGAGATTTGCTCAGTAAGTTGAGATCACTGAATTAGATGACTAATTAATGTAATCAAAATCAAAATTCAGTTACCAAGGCAGTGAGAGATTAATCACACTTTCTTTCTGTATGCATAAGTCTGGTTTGAATCGTTTGATTGCGATCGCTTCGTCAAATAGTAGTAAATTTGCTGTCCTTTGTCTATTTATTTTTAATTCATTAGGTATGCTTACAGATAGACTGATTATATTCACCTATAAAGCTTATCGTAGCTGGAATTTTCAAAGTTCATTTTCACAAAACATACTTCAAGTTGGAAATTGTAATATCATCTTGACAACAGTACGAAAGCAGAATGGCATCACAAGCAAAGAGGCTTACCCTCGAAAAAGACCAAGAACAGTGTTTATGAATGCGGTGTGAATTAGTTAATTATTTTATAAGAATTTGTATCTGACTTCTAATAACCATTGTTTCCGAACTGTGTTCATACTGAAGATACTTGATTTACAATAAGCTGTCTGAATAATACTGATCGTGAAACTAAACTAAGTGAAATTTTTATACTTATAGTAACGTTCGCACTTACTGAATTGATACGTTTGCGGCTCCTTTATTACTAATATTTAAATGATAAAATTAAGGTACCTCGTCTTCTCTTACAACTACAGGTTTAGACAATAGTTGTAGCTGACAGCATTTGGTTAGAAATAATTCCTAGACATTTTAATTCTACTTATTGGTTACGAAATGCTAAACTACAACCTGTGGCTTTCAGAGAAATTGTAATTAATCCTTCACTTAAGGAATAAATTACTTTATTGAATTTTGGACATTTATTTCATTTCATCAGCATTACTAATGCTAAGATTGCTATTTTCAGGTGATGAGATCAGGTATACAAAGCAGAAGCAAAGTTTACTTATTGCGTAATGTAGTTCGCTATCGTCTCTTTTGTTACTGTAAATCTTTTGATTCTGACAGTTTTTAGAAGTGGCTTTCATTTAATGTGAAGAGGATGAGTATGCTGCGATTTTCCTTAGTCTTATAACATGCAGGTAGGTCAGTTGAAACGGTACCGAGTGAGTTTGTGAGTTCGAAAGCTAGCTTAATGCTTGCTTTATTAAGGATTCTATGTATGATTTCAGATGTTCGTTCCTTATTTGGTATCAGTGTAATGCTATAATGTTATGGTCTAATTTATTTACTAATTTATACTTATTAATTTATTTATAATTTACTAATTTATCTTTTATTATGAGCTTTCCTAACTTTTTTGATGAATTCTTTGGAATGTTTATTTAGTAACAGTGCTTCTTCAACATATTTCACTTCGTTATTCCGGCTTTCTAGCAGGCTAAAGAAAAACTTTTGTTAGCTGATTATATAAATGAGCTACAAATGGAGCTTTAAATGTCACCAGTAAATAATACTGTGACACTGAGTGTTTTGTAGAATAAAATTATTCTATAATGGTATTATATTCTATCACAGTGCCCGAAGTTTATTCGTTTATCACTCAAGTCGAATGTGTTATGTAAAATTAATATAATTGCGATGTACAGAAACCGCTGTTTAAATTTTTTGGCACTTAAAAAATAACGACTTAATACGTTTCTCCGTATTCAAAAGATACAGCGTCATATCTGTTTTTCCGTGTTTTTTCTCTGCCATTTAAGTATTATTCATATTGGTGTTTTCCAAATCATTTATTATTCTATCGTACCGTTATCTAAACTAATTTACTGTTAAAGCTGAAATCCTGCTTCTAAATCTAAAATTAACTAAGTCAATATGTAACACCAATTCGCTTATTCCCAGGTCATTGGCCTGAGGAAACATAATACAGGACTTTTGACTGTAAACACAAGGTGATCAAGGTACACGTCTGAAAATAAGCTGTTTATACAACTCTGTGTCACTTGCAGGGATATCAGTGCATTGATTTCTCCTCTTCGCTTGAATCACACTTTCCTAAATCTTTGTTTCCTTTCTTACTCCTTACCTTTTGGAAATTTTACGACTGAAAGTAAATGGCATGTTGCTAAGTAATTCAATAGGCAATAGATTCTGAGTTAACTAGCATTCAGATACACGTCGTTTATTTTCAGTCACTTTTACTGAACAATTATTATATTTCTGATGTAGCTATGATAATAAGAATACAGTCGTTTAAATCTATTTAAATTATAGATAACAGTAGTCAAGTAGGTTCATTTTTATATTTCACTGTGCATCTCAACTCGCTAACTGATAGCCAGGTGTGAGCGAATTGTTTACAGGCATGATAAGACCTCTCCATCACTTGATAACAAAAATGACGCAAAGATAGACAGAAGAATTGGTGCATCTTTCTATGTAATATGGTTTATTTCTACCTTCTAATCAAGATAAAAAAATTAAGCGAATCTGTTCACAAAAACGATAATGATATGAATCATTTAGTACAAGTATACATTAATAATGTACATGAAAAAATTCTATCAGAGAAATTTCTAAGAAAATCTCACCGCCAAACGACAGTGACGCATGCAAATGCAGGAAAAACTGTATCTATTTTTATAATGTTTAGGCACCTCACATTTATGTGTATACATATACGTAAAACACCTTTCTGTCGAAAGTTCTTGATACTGAATTCAAGGGAATGTATTCACATACACATTTGTCTAAGGGAAACTGATTTCATTACATTTCATTATATATATATATATATATATATCAGTTGAATTTCATGATTACCATTAGTATTCAGTTTTATTTTGAATTATTTGTCAGTATGTTCAACTAAACAAATCTTCAAATAGCTACTCATTAAATAAGAAATAAATGAATTGTCTCAGGATCATATTTCAATAGCCCAGTTTCATAAATGAACACCGAACAGAAGGTATTGTATACTTAGTGAGTATATGTCTACTGAGAAAAATAACTCGCCTAAGTAAGAGATGTGAATTAGATTTTTCAGTCAAACGTTTCTCAAAAAAATGCCATAGTTTGTGGACATCACTTTGAAAGTGGCTTAAATTTCAATAAAGCACCGCCAAGGGTATCAACAATAAGAAGTACTTTTAACCAATTTTTAAATGAACCTGTAGCATATAGATGTTGAAATGTGACTGTGATTCCAGTCATTATTACTGTGTAATGATATCTGTATCTGTATATAAACATGACATTTCAAAAGCTGTTAACATACAGGTAAACATTTGACAATAAGAAATACCCATATAGTAAGCGGAGATAAAGCGCACTGAAAAGTTGTTCGCCGTTTGGATTTTGAATTTCAAGTTGAAATTGTGTTTACCTAGATTAAACTTGTACTTTTGGACAAATTGCACGACATTATTAGACTAACAAATGTTTCTAATTCTGTTAAAGGATTATAATAGGGTTTGTATTGTACCAGACTGAAAATTTGCTTCCAAACGGTTCAAGTACCCCAAATAAACCAAGGGCATCGAAAAGTAATCAACCATTAAATGTTTCATCATATAGCCACATATTAGTGGACATCAGTAGAGTATTGAACAGGTATTAATGTTTCCGGATAAGAATAAAGGGTCTCGCTTGTTGTCGACAATATGATAGCTGTCGTTAACTGAAGACTAGGATAAATGACTGAAAGTATACCACAATAGCCCAAATACACTATAAGTTCAAGTGACTTATTACCACACTTATTATGTTTGCATACTTATTGTAGTGTTGTTGTACCGTGAGTTGTTTTCCTTACTATTTGTTGTGTTGCGATGATATATGGTGATTGAGACAGACAGGCGGTTATCAATGGTCAGAATCTTTTATTGCTATCTTTGAACGAGAATATTTTCGCGAAAAACACTGTCATAAAACACTTATTATTATTGTTCCCTTGGGTGGAACGTAGGGCTTCAACAGGACATGTCTACTTTGTCGTATTCTCTGAGCTCCTCTTTAGCTGGCCCCCGGACTTCCCATAGTCACACATCTCCTCTTTATGCGATCTCTTCCATGTCATTTGTGTTCTCAGCATTTAAAAAATAAAATAACTTTACTATATTTCATATACATTTTACATACGCATACATGCACACTGATAGCATTTGAGGTAAATCCGAATGATTAATTGTACAGAATACTGCTTAGACAAATAACGTTGTCCTATTTTAAAAAGTAACAATACCAAGATTTCGATGAGAAGTTCTTGATTCGCTCCAAAAAAGCTCTTGAAACTTATTATAATTTGCGTTTATGTATGTATCTATTCGATTGATGACACAAACTTTAATTAGTGCAGTTAAGATGCATTAGGCATAAATATTTTTTTATATCTTGTAATACATTTCCTTCAATTAGAATCATTATGGAGTACTGCACTTTATCTAAACAGACTTTGGCTTCAGTTATGTAGCATGCTTCTATGGTCTGAAATAAAACAAAAAAAATGAAACACGAATGTATATATGGTCCGTCTAGGCTATCTGGATTTCCAAATCATCCACAGAGATTACATTTTTAGAATTTTGTGTCAAAATGTAGACAGTAAACAGTCTAAATAGAATGACCTACTTCACAGTAAAGTGATGGTCAACAAATCTCGAACAAATGCTTGACTTCCCACAGTTATTTTATACTTGTTATTCAAATACAACATACATATTGCTCTCCTTTTCAGGTTAAGCCTGGAGATTGTTTTGGAGGTAAATCAAATGCTATTTAGTGGTGATCTGTTCTCATATTTGTTTGTTGGAGGTATTTTCATTGATGCTTTGCATCGTTTTTGAACGTAGTGAAGTTTATTATCTGGTTACGTGTTGGTGTGATTGGCCTTTCTATATTCCGCAGAGGTTGAATGTTGCTCATTTGCAATCATCCTATTGCTTTCATTTACTTAAACATTTTACAGATTGCTGATTTCGGATTCGTTAAACATGTGAAATATAGAACCTATACACTTTGTGGGACTCCTGAATATCTAGCTCCAGAGATTATTCAAAGTAAAGTAAGTTGCATTCATTTAACTATAATAATAACATTTTCATTGTTGTTTTGTCATATATTTTAAAATATCAGATGGAAAATTCATTTTAAATTATTTATGAGAATATTAGTAATAGCCATTTTCATAGTGATTTTAGTTCATGTACTATTTCGAATATTTGAAGATTAACGGAGTTCTGCCGTGAAAAGTCAATGAATTCACAGGTCCTGCTTTTATTCTACCTTTTCGCCCATCTTATTATCTCCACTTTCACGTGATATGGGACTTTTTCGTAGTCGAACGTGCATACCGAAGAAAAAGTAAATAGAGGCACGAGAGAATCTCACAATTTTCCTTTATTTTTATTTATTTTTTGATAATGAATTTAAAAATCAGATCAACTATTTCGTTATCAATAAGTAGTTATTTCAGGACAGTAATGAAAACAATCATATTGCCTATCGTTACCATTTGTATAATACGAGTAAAAGAATTTAGCATTTTTTAAAACTCTATGAGTTTGTTTTCCCACTCGATTATTGTCGTTATGTTGAAGCCCGCAATCTGGATTAGTTTAATCCTTGCACATTGTGTGAAACAATAGTAACACTCAGTCAAATGACAATAGTAGGTTCTTTTAAAATGATCACGCATTTTATGAATGAAATTTCAGGATATTGCTCTGTATAGGATCAATTTTATATTTTGTTTGATAGTAAAAACACATCTACCATGTTCGTTATATATCTGCTGAGGAATGATCAAAGCTCTTTAATGGTGTTTTTTATGAATTAAATTGCTTTTATGTGGAACAAGAAATTAGTTGTAGTGTACAACGGATTCGTGTGGTTTTATACTATTCTTTTTTAAAAATTTGCTTAGCATTTTTAACTGACTAAAAAAGTTGTCAGTGTATCATTTATTCAGAAAAGTCCCAAGGAGGATAAAACAGTAACCTTATAAAATAGTTCTATTTGATAAAACAATTTCCAGTGATTTAGTGTTATGTACTGATAACATTTCAGACATAATTTATTGTTCTACTCCACTACAGTACCTATGATAAATCTGGTGAATAAATTAACTAAGATACAAGGAAAATTTAGAGTAGTTTCACCGGATCGGTACTGGTCGTTGATCTTTCCGCTTTATATGAAAGAAGGGAAAAGTTGCCCGTTATCATTATAACATGATAAATTTCACTAACAAAGCGCTGATAGCCTAAGAAACCTAACTTCAAAGAACCAAAGACAGTGTGTTGATGAAATATGAAATCTCTAACAGGTTCCAAAAGCCAGGCGTACTATTGTTCATAACTCGTAATATCTCTTTACCGAAAGGTTGCCTTTTGTTTCATTCCTTATAATTGCTGTGAAAAGAATATTATGTTAATGAATGCTTGCTAATCAAACTCATAAAGACATGTAAAAACTCATGGACAGTTATTTGCAGTGACGGTAATCAGTGGTGTCTGTCAAGGGTTCCTACTGTCATTCTTCCTATTCATATTCTTTAGATGCAGTGATTCACATGACTTTTCCCATTATGCCAGTGCAGAACACTCTTAATAACCAGGACTATGTAGATAATGTAGTCATTTGAAGACCTTGAGCAAAAATCATGGTACGTTTGCATACAATTCGCTCCAATCAAATGTAAGAATTTTGAAGGACTAGTATGAGCGGATTCCTTGTTTAAGGATAGGTAGTAGAATAAATGAATGCGCTGAACAACTCAATTGCACCGAAAGTTGCACCAACTCCAACTGAGTAGTAACGGCTAAGTACCTTGGTAGCTAGATACTTGCTAACTTGAGTCACCTTCGTTTAAGACGTGATATATTGTCTTCAAATGAAATTCACCTGTACTTTTAATAGTTTGCACTATCCAAATGTGAGGAAATGAAGGTAGAAAAAGTAAGTGTTGCAGAGTTTTGACAGTTGACAATGTATTAGAAACTAAATAATAAATCGTTAAGATAAATCAATTTTATGGAATTCAGAAAAAAAGAAATTTACTTTCATTGAAAAAAAGGGCAATGTTTTGTTCGTATTTTCATATTTGATACTGATTACTTGTCCCCAAATGTAATTGGATGTTTATATTCCACTTAAAATGTCTGCAAGTTTTCAAGCATTTTATTACATTAAGAGGTGCCTTTTTGTTCCAAGCATCTTCCGTCCTCCCACCACTAAATCACAGAAACGGCGAAAATAAAGATAATAATTTCATAGTAGTTTACTGACCTGCCACCTCAAAGCGCTGTAAGAAGAGGAAATGAGATGTTAAATATCATGTGTGAATATTCCTGTTGGCTATGAAGAGATCAGCAAAACATTCATAGACCATAAAAAGGAATAGGAAATAAAACGTTCCAGTTAGTACCATGTTAATTTCTTAAAGAGAGATCAACTTCGTAACATTATTGTAAGTTTGTGAAGTTTACCACATTTACTTTCATGTGTTTTGAGGATTCACTAGTTCAATATACAACTGAGATAAACTAAAATCCTTTCCAGAAGCTTCGGGCAACCAGCTCATCCCCATTAAAAGTCGCTAAATATACTTTACTTTATACAAATCAGACGAACATTCGAAGCAACAAACGGCCTACCAAAGTCAGTAGACAAAACAGACGTTATTGTGAATATCGAGTTGTCATATAGAGTTATTATAAATTTGCCTGAAGTTACCGTGAAGGAATTCACTACTCCGTTGGCAAAAAGTGAATACTGAGAAGAATTGTCTAAAAAATTACTGAGACCATCATCTACTGCACTACTGTTAGTTGTCAAATTAGACACTCACATTTGATTAGGAATAAATAGTTAAGCAGAACTACTAATAATTTATTACGGCAATCTAGATGATAATGCAAATGCACACACTACCCAATGCTTAGAGAATTACACAAATCGTGAATAAAATATTATTTCGTGACTACTATATATTCATAAGCTACGTTTTAACTCTCCTGTTACAGAATAAACAAAAGGCCTAACATGAATTAGAAACAAATAGTCCACTTGAATTTTAAAACCGTTCATTTGAGAATAATGAGATTTTTGAATCTTGATTTTAAGAGGCAGTAAGTTAAGACATTTCACGCTAATAGTCCAATTTCAGGATATTTGCCCAAATACTAAGAAAACATTGATAATATGTTAACAGAATCTGCTGTTTAGTATAAGAAAAAAACTTGGGCAATTTGGTAGAGTGTAATTCCATAATGGGTAAATTTTATTTTGATAGAGTCTCACAGTGTTATACAGTAATGTTTACTGATGACGTTTCGAGCACAATTTATTGCTCATAATCATATCAAGGTAATCACACGACTTCCTAAATTCATTTATATAGTTCCGTTGTTTTTCACTTGATTTTCACTTGATTTGATTGGTAGTAATATTTTCCATATTTCGGATATGAGTTATGAACCATTCCTATTGCATGTGTTGGGTTTAGATTCGATGAACAAAGATTCAGTAATCAACCTCTCTCTCCACCTACCTAGATTACTTTTTAGAATTTTAACCCTCTCACACCCTATTGTGTGGTTGTGTGCTAATGCATGCAGTGCAAAGTAGTGCTGACCTTTTTTCTAAATTACTTACCTTTTCGGGGTCAATCACTTTTACCTTAGATAAATTCTTATGTTCTGACAATCTGACTACCCCTGACCTACTAGTTTGACCTATGTAGTTGACCTAACTCACAGTCATTGCAAGGTATTTTGTAAATTATATTATTTTGTCTAATTGGGTCAACTGGGTCCTTCAACCTACAGAGCTTGTCCTACCTGAGTGAGTTTGTAGGTTTAAATGCCACCCTAATTCCTGCTTTATTTAGAATCCTAAGTAGGGTCTCAGATGTCCCCTCTTTATATGGTATAACTGTAGATGACTTATATTCTCTCTTATTTATCTTATTATTACTAGTTTCACAATTCTTTTTATTTTTCTTTTGGCCTTTTTCAATCTTCCTAGTGAATTTTAAAGGATAGTTATTTAACACCAACGCCTCTTTTATCTGTTTCATTTCATCATTTAGGTCTTTTTTTGTGCTACTTAGTGCCATTGCTCGGTTTGTTAAACAATTAACTAAGCCTGCCTTAACAGTTAAAGGATGAGATGAATTAAAGTCTAAATATCTATTAGAATGCGTTGGTTTTCTATAAAAACTAGTGTGTAGTTTGCCCTATTCTATTCGTTTTATTTTACAATCTAACATAGTTAATTCTCCTTGCTCATTTCCGAAAATGAGCATTCATTAGGAAGATTGAAAAAGGCCAAAAGAAAAATAAAAAGAATTGTGAAACTAGTAATAATAAGATAAATAAGAGAGAATATAAGTCATCTACAGTTATACCATATAAAGAGGGGACATCTGAGACCCTACTTAGGATTCTAAATAAAGCAGGAATTAGGGTGGCATTTAAACCTACAAACTCACTCAGGTAGGACAAGCTCTGTAGGTTGAAGGACCCAGTTGACCCAATTAGACAAAATAATATAATTTACAAAATACTTAGCAATGACTGTGAGTTAGGTCAACTACATAGGTCAAACTAGTAGGTCAGAGGTAGTCAGATTGTCAGAACATAAGAATTTAGCTAAGGTAAGAATGGTTGACCCCGAAAAGGTAAGTAATTTAGAAAAAAGGTCAGCACTACTTTGCACTGCATGCATTAGCACACAACCACACAATAGGGTGTGAGAGGGTTAAAATTCTAAAAAGTAATCTAGGTAGGTGGAGAGAGAGGTTGATTACTGAATCTTTGTTCATCGAATCTAAACCCAACACATGCAATAAGAATGACTCATCACTCATACTCTAAATATGAAAAATATAACTACCAATCAAATCAAGTGAAAAACAATGGAACTATATAAATTTGATCTCATATTTCGAGTACGTCATCAAAAATCTCTTAGCTTCAATGTGTGTTTATTTTGACTTATCAGAACCGCATATCAGACCACTAAAATTCATCTTTTTTCAGAAATTCAGACGTATCAACC